CTGCGGTGACACCGGTGCAGGGCCCCCCCTCCGCCCCGCTTTGGTGAAGCCCAAACCCGCAGAGAGCAGCTGCTTTGTGTTGGCAGTCGGAAGGTGAGGCAAAGGCAGTGCCCCCCCATCGCACCCACCTGCGGGACACGCGTGGGTGCCCTGCCTCCCCTCGGCAGGCGCAGAGGAAAGGAGGCTTCCGCAGCTGTAGCTGCCTTGCTCCTCAGGGCTGTTTGCTCAAGTTTTACTCATCTTTGGGGATGTACGTGCGGTGCCTGGCTGTGTTTGCTTTTCCACAGATCACAGTGTAGAGTCAATATGGGCTTTCTGTCAAGCTGGGTGGGAGGTGCCTTTCTTGTCAGGATTTTTTTCCTCCCCTTTGACTTTAAATTAATTTAATGTCTCTGAAGAGAATTGGTAATGGCATCATTCATATAACAGGAAAAGCAGCTCTCCCCAAATTCCTTATGCTCCCTAATAGATGAGCTGTTTTTCCTCAGAAAAACCCACTGTAGTGACAGCAGTGTCACTACTTATCTTCTGTGGCCTCTTGAAGCCTTGCTTTTCTTAGGACCATTTTTTTCAGAGAAATGGTAAGCATGCGTGTCTGTGTTTCTTTCAAAATAAAGATTTTTGCCTAGAAAGTGATACAGTAAAGTTGGTGCATCTTGTCTGTCAAAGCAGTTGTATTAATGTGAACTCCCTATGTCGTTACAGTTTATTTCAATAAACTGCTAGAGTAATAACAATTTAACTTAACTGTTGTATTTGAGACCGGAGAGGCCCTAGCCTGAGGCTTAGTTTAAAAAGGCAGAGCAGGAGGAGAAACAGGTATAAAAGACATGCCTTGCCTAAATAATGTAGCAAGTCAGTGGCAGGGCTGGGTTTAGAGCTCCTGAGATGTGGCACACTGCGCTGTCGGACTTGTGATGCAGCCGGAGATCCCTGTGACAGGTGAGGGAGGGTGGCAGAAATCCAAGAAATCCTCAGTAGGTGTTTGGGAGAGCAGTAAGAGCTTCTCACAATTAAGGATTGTGCCGTTTAATTTTTTCTCTCTGTTGTGAAGCTAAGCAGTGCGGGTCTTTTGAATGGCTTTTATTTATGCAATGGCATTTCAAGAAGGCATTCCCAAAAACACACCTTTCAGAGTAGGTAGTTTGTTCAGGTCTCAGGGATTCAATCTGCTCGTTAAAGCACAGGTGCGTGGGTGTCCATGTGCTCTCACTTCTAACAGGTTTTGCTGTGGGTTTCTTGGAGGAGGAGTCTAAAGAGTTTGACTTCCCCATGAAACAAGCAAAGGATGGGAAGTTTAACAAGTCAAGAGACCAAGGTTTTCTTACTAAAGTGGGTTTTTTTTTTTTCTTCTTACAGGTAACATACAAATGGCTAAGCTACACTCTGGGAGTTCATGTCAACCAGGCTAAACAGTAGGTATTAGTGCATCCCACAAACCTTTTGTTTTGTGGCAAAGCCTTGTTAATTACTGTTTTCATGATTGTGGTTACTGTATTAAAATTACCTCTCTGGAAATGTTTAAAAATCCTGCATGTCTTTTCAGGTTATGTTATTCGACATGCCTTACTCCTGCTGTAGGCAGATCTTGCCTTGACTTGATGGGAGTTGTGCTTTAGAGAGCAGTGCTCAGCTGGACACCTTACGCTGCTTTATATCATAAATACTTAGGTCAGAATAGAAGTTTTAGTGTTATATTACTGCAGAAATGTATGTAGCTCCTTTCATCCTGAAATGCAGATGTGTTTTCTGAACTTGGCTCCAGTCCTGCAGAGCTACGCCTTTGTGAGAATCTGCCACTGCATACCCCAGCTTAGGATGCCGTACATTATCCGTGGATATTGCTGGGAGCAGAGTCAGGAAAATGCAAAACAGCTCACGTGTATGGCAAATGCTTATCCGCTCTGATCACCCTGCTGCGTAGTGCATGATGGGTTATTAATATCCAATTAAGGGCACAGGTAAATATTTGAAGGATGGGGAAGTCAGCTGTGCTGTCAAATATTTTTGCTTCTCCAAACTTAGTATAAATCTGTAACCTTGTCTTGGTGTATTTTGAAGAATAAAAATTACTTTTAAATATCCTATAAAACAAAGAACAAGCTCCCAAGGATTCCGGGGCTGTTGCTACACAGCAAGGTAAATTTAAGCATAAGATTTGAAGTTTGCATAAGAGTGTCAAGTCCCATAATACAAATATTTTCTCTCCTTGTTTCTGGCTATAGCTTGGACCTAAAGGGGCATTTGCTGCGTACTCAGCTGCAGTGTACTGAGCCCAGCTTCACCTGTCTTGTCCAAACTACTAGAATATCAACTCGGGCATCTAATGTAATGAAGAGATTGTTTGGTCTCTTTCCTCTGCGTGTGTGTGAACAATTTAGATGATGTGTAAATCTGAGTGTGCTTCAGTGATGGTGTAGACCTGACTGGAGAGCTCTGCTGGGAACAGTTTTGGTCATACGGTAAACTAGAAGGAGCCAGAGAACTTTTTGCTCTGAAGAAGATGGCCCAGGTGAAACGGAGGCACCTTCTTATACCCTTGAAAGCAACCTGGAGATGGAGAACTCCTGTGGCATCTTTGTGCTTAAAACTCTCTCCTAGAAGCTGGAGAAGTGCCTGATAACACAAGTGAATTATTTTAGTGAGTTTTGCTGGCTGTGGCAGCATGTTCATTGCAGTCTGTCTCTGTGGCAATGAGGATCTTCAAGTATTTTTATCAGATAGCATCCTCGTGGAGTGTGCGGTAGCGTCTGCCCAGTTACGTGGGACGCTCATCATAAATCAGTGGTATAAGTGGGAGCTGAAAGTTGAATCTCAGCTCAATCTCGACATCACTAATCATGCTCTTTCCTTCTGTTTCTGATCACCGTGTCAGTGCATGTAACTAGAATTGTATATATACACCTGGCAATGTGATCATGTACCAAAAATCACCAGTTTCTCTGTCAGGTGTTTCAGAATGCTGGGTTGTAACAAGGGAAACGGCCTTCTCGAGGGGAGACTTTGGAACAAGCTGCCCAGAGGATGTGAGACCATCTGCAACCAACTATTAAAGCTTTCAGAGCTTGTATTCATTTCACCTTTGGTTTATGTAGTTGTTGGACTGAGATTCTTCAAAGTGGCAGAGGAGAAAGGTGTCTCAGAAAGATTAGTTTAATCCTGGTTAAAATAGCTGTGCTTATGTGAAATGTTTCCATGTCAGGCTGGCTTTGCTCTTTTTATGTAAGCTTCATGGAAGGGGGGTGACAGGCTCTTTCCTTTCTAGGTGTTCAACACTGTGTTTTTTTGTGCAGGATGCTGTATGATTACGTAGAGAGGAAACGAAAGGAGAATTCAGGAGCTCAGCTTCATGTCACCTACTTGGTAGCAGGAAACCTTATCCAGAATGGACACACTGTGAGTGTTTTATTTCTCAGAGGTGTCTGTGAGCTCTTTGTTCTTGTGTCTTCCATCTTGTTTTGTAATCTTCGGGTCAAAAGCTGAACTTGCTCTTTTTTTCCAGCAACAGGCACAGTGTGCTAGGTCTTCTGTACATGTCCAAAATAAGACACTATCTCTGTTCCAGCTTACAAATGATGGGGAGGAAAGATCAGTTGGTCATGATTTGGTAATATAGGGCTGAATAATGCACCAGGGCTTTTATTTAATTAACTTAAATCCTGTCACCAGTCATCTCTCAATCCTATCACTAATATTGGACAGCAAATTTTCTAAAACAGTCTGGAGGGGCCCTTGAGAGATCAGCTAATCCATTTCCCAGGATCTGCTGTGGAGTGGAGAGTAGTATTTGGAGAGAGCTTGGAATTCAGTTAGCATGAAATAATAATAAATAATAAATAGAATAATGAATAAATAGTTGAAGTGCTCGTGTTAAAGCAACTTTTTTTATCCTGGTATACAATAGAAACGTAAGTTTATTAATAGTATTATGTATTTAAAATGCATTGACTTATTAAGCAAAGGAATCACTACTTGTAGTTAATGTATTTATTTTTTCTTGTTGCTGCTTGTCAGATTTTCAAGAATGTCATCTAAAATTTCAGACAGGTACCCCAGGGGTTTTTGAAAGAAGATGAGCAAATTGAGTGCCTGTTTCCTTTGCTCTCGGAAGAATTTAATAGCCAAACACTGAATGCCTTTGACATTCCACTAGGTGTCTATTCTTATCTTTAGATACCCAAATATCTCTTACAATACAATCCACAGTTTTCATTTAGAATTAGTACATCTCAGGGTGTCCTGGCTTTTATTTGTAGATTGGAAAAGAAAACAACAAACCTTTTTTTATTTTCCTAAATAATAAACTGGTTCACATGCATAGAATATTCTCTTTACATCTCCAAATTTACCTGAAATGGAAGGTAATTATTTATTGCATTAGTTCTGCACGATGGAATATATTTATTTAAAGCTGTACAGATAGTGTCACATTTATAGCCTGAGTTTAACAGGTTTTCCCCCGATTTCTTTTGGAAATAATAAGGTAGCATCTCTTGGATCACTAGAGTTAGTGAGAGATTTGTCAACATGTTGTAATATTTTCAAATTTGCCATAATGTATTTAAAACAAACAAGTGAATTCTGACATAGGATATAGACAATTTTTTTTAAACTCTGTCTTAGCAGTTTATATATTTGTAAAGCAAGAAAGATCTACTAAGGTAAACATATAAGGGGCACTTTTTTGTTTGTTTGTTAAGTATCTTATTTTTGAATACTGCAATAGTAACGCCTGCTAAGAAAGGTAACCTGCAGGTGCAGCAAGTTGTTAGGGGCAGAGATGAAGCAATGTCAGGGTTAGGAATGCCACACAGGAGTTGTTTAACGTTCTTCAGACTGAGTGTCTGAGGGCTAGCTGGAACGGTGGGAGAAGAGGTCGGATCTGGAAGATACTTCTAGAAGATGTGCAGGCATTGGAGTAGCTGGAGGGTATTATTTGGCACAAGTCAATTTTGAGTAGGAAAGGGATGCGAGTGCTTCAGATGCAACCTTCAGTGCTTGCTGGTAACCCTGCACTACTGTCTGCTGTCAGTAGGTGTAGCCACAAGGCTGCGGATTCAACTGCAAGACTCGTCTGAAGGGAGATAGGAATAGAAATCAGTCACAAACAATTCTCATCGTGTCTTAAGCACTGCATGCTCTTTACTTGCAACTTTTTATACACCTCTGTGAGGGACCAAGACTCTCAATCTTTCTTTACCGTTTCAGGTTGCTTACATTTTCTTACCTCTTACTCTTTTGCTGGCTAGTCTGTGGTATCGGTAAAACACAAAATTAATTTTGTGATTTTGTCCAGTCTGTCTCTTTGGATACTCTCTGTGTTAACCGCAGCCTGTTAAATGTCATAGAGCAGGTATAGTCCTTGAAGACTGGCTGTAGAGCACATTTCCAGAAACATTCATATCTGACTTTTGAATTAATGCTTAATTTCTCATGGTGTTTTCCTTCTCTGGTGCTGTGTCTGTGCTAGAGATTGCTACGTTAGAGTTTAGTGGCCATGTAAATATACATGCGTGATGTGGGCTAGTGCGGCAGATTTCTAGCAGTTGGGTCATCAGCTGTGTTAGTTTGCTTTTCTCCACTAAGCAACGCAGTTTAGTTCTTGTTTCATCTGTGTCTCATCTCCCAGTGTCAGGAATGGAGGACAGAGAATTTCTTTAGGGTTGTAGTGATCTGTGAAACAGCCTATTAGAAAAGTAGGAAGACAGAGCTTTAAAAACTAGTAGCTGATGACTGTTTAAAGGCATTGGGAGTGTTCTTTGCAGCTATAAAGCTGCACCTGTAATCGGTAGACTTTCTTTTTCAATAGATAACTGAAAATACCAGTCTTATGTACAACAGGCCTTTTCAAATTTTAAGGTTGCAATTTATTTTTTTTTTTTACAGTGCCACAAGGTTGCAGTAGTGAGAGAGGATAAACTTGAAGGTAAGCAGATCGTGAAAATTATGTGGTTTTAACTTTTTTCTTTGAAAGAACTGCAAAGTGAGTAAAGCTCAGAACTTGCCATCTGCACGTAAATGCCTAGTCAGGCTGCTGGGTTCAGGTGTGTACTTTTTGTACTAGCTTTTTCTCAGAATTGTGAATATCTGAGCCAACAGCTGTGTAACTTCAGACTTGTGATTTGGGTCCGATTTTTTTTTTTTTTTTTTAATGTTGACCATTTTACTCAGCGATTCTTTTCCACCTCCCTGCCACTGACAGACAGCTCTTCTTAAAGGCAATATCTGAGTAGTGTACAGTAGTGTACAGCAGTGTCTCACAGTGTTTTAGAACAATTATGAGCCTTCAGGCTCCCAAGGATGCTGAAGCAGATAACTAGTTATTCGTTAAATGCAATTGCAGTCTTTGTTTGCCCTGAGTAACATGAGTATTAGTTAAATGTTCCACAAGAAAGTTCTTACTTTTGTCTGGAGTATTTGCTTTCACAGTAAAAGGTGAAAAAAACCACCACTATAACACTGCTTCCTGCAACTGTTCTTCATGCACTGTCAGTCATCTTACCATCTTTCCAGGTCTGGTCCTGCTGATGAGATCTGATCCGTAGCAATTGAAACACAACTGCAGGCTCTTCGTTGCTTTCAAATAATATCTTTGGCATTTGAGAACATACTGTGGGATTTGTGACCTTAAATATCCATGCTAATGATCTAACTTTGTTTGAAAGACTTGTGTTATTTTCCTTTTTGAAATCTGAAGGTGGATTTCTAGCTAAAGTTGTCTTCATCAGGGTAGTAGACTGTCAAGCAGTGCAACTACTATCTGTCGTGTTTGTTGAATTATGTGTGCTGCGTAATAATCTGTTTTCTGTGGAGGAAAGGGTTGCTCATGTTTTTTGTATTAGAAGACAGGCCAAAGGTATGACTTACATTTGGAAGAGGCTGAGATTTGTGATGGGAGTAGGGCTGCATAGTCTAGGACTGGCCCCAAGACATGATTACTGTGTGTATTTTTACAGTGCCTAGAAGCTCTGTCTCAGATCAGGACTGTGTGGAAAGAACAATATAAGCAATGGACAAAGAATTCCTAAAAAACAGCCCTTCTCGCAAGGGGGTTACAGTCTAAATAGCATAGAAGAGACAAAACATTGATTCCAGCAGAATATTAGAGAAGACACAGTGATGCTAGTTGATAAGGTGGACGCTACCTTAATGGCTACCTTCCAGCAGGGTAGAGTTACGGCCATCTGTTTTCTTCCTTTGCTTTAGGTAGTCATATAGATATTCTGGATCCCAAACACTGGATATCTTGAAGGTAAACACAGAGAGATTACTCTTAATTCAGTGTAAGAACCAAGAGCGTATAGTGGAAAACATGTTTGACAGGCTTGTGGAATCTGTTACCTTGAATTCTCAATTAGTGAGCGTTGGAAGAAGGTACAATTACACATTTTTATATTCAGGTCCTTGCTGTCAAGTGGTCTGTCAGTCTTTCTCCATCCTTGGTAGAGCCTGATACTTAAAGTTGCCACCTGACTCTGTAAAGGCTGTGCTAACAGAGGATTTTTTTTTTTTTTTTTCACCTTTTTCTTTCCCCCCCTCCAGCAATGAAGTCTAAACTAGCCACGATTGCGAGTGTGCACGTCTACAGCATTCAGAAAGCCTTGCTCAAGGACAGCGGGCCACTCTACAACACAGACTATGATATTGTCAAAACAAACCTGCACAACTGCAGCAAGTGAGTTGCGTCTTGATTTTTCTTCTAATGCTATGTGACTTGAGACTGAAGAGATGTTGCTACACAGTGCAATTGAGCAGAAGTCCATGGTTACCAGATATGTCTGGATTTTCAGAAAGCTAGAGAAAGATATCTTCTAAGTCGTGCCAGACCAGTCCCCAGACAGCACATTGTATGATTTTTTCGTAAACCGAGCTTTTTGCAGCTTACAGTTGGTTCACCTGCTCCGTTACTCCAACAGGCAGACTATTCCAGTACCTTCCTTCTCTGATGGCTAGAAACCTTTTTCGCATTTCCAGGCCACACTTCATCATGACTATTTTTATCCAGTTCTCAGTCACGCAGGAAGAGTAAATTGAAACAGACTTACAAAAACACGAGTGATGTGCTCAGCAAAGTGCTAACATGAGTTTGCCTTCTGTTTTGTGAGACCATGTTTTCATCCACCTCTCTGAAGATGTCTTACAGGAACTCATTCTTCATATATAAGATGAGAGCCTGAGGCATAAGGGAAGCATACAAAACAGACCAAGCAGCACGAGTGCTCTTCATGGTTGAACTAGAGAAAGGTTGTCCTGGAATTCAGAGGGACTTCAGTCCCCAGGGGTCATTGTCTCTCCTCCTGAACAGTGCCTGGCAGCTGTGGCTTTTCATTTATATGTTGTTTCCACCACGACAGCTTCAGCTTGATGTAATCAGTACGTACGTGCCATGACCAATCTGGTTTAGAAGGGGGATGCCTGAATGTTGTGTCATAGAAAGAGTATAGAATTTGAAAGTAGAAATGTAGCTGTCTTCAAAATGTTGACAAGAGAGTGGCTGAGAAAATAATGTCCTAGAAGCTGCGTGTTTCAAATGTGAATATCAATACCATGCTAAGCGCTAGAAACCTCTGCTTCAATGAAGACGCGTGCCATAGGTATGACTGCAGCGGCCTTGTTCCAGTCTGTTTACTCTCAGGCACCCCTGCATGGCAGTACTTGTGTCTTAGAGGAATCTGCCCTTCAAACTTGTACATCCAGAGGTTTAGACAACTCAGATTCTGAAATCGCTTTCTGAAGCCTGTGTGTAAATCCCTGCCTGGCTTTGGAGCAGAATTTCCCAAGCAAACTAAGAAAAATTGAGCTTCTTCATTTGTGACCTGGCTGAACTAAATTCAGACTGACCATGTTCCCTGTCAACTACGCAAATTGTCTTTTACACTTGGGACAAGATTCCTGCAGTACCTGCAAAAGACAGAGGTTTAACTATGTGCATGTTTATAGCAAACAGAACCTACTGGCTTCTTATGCTTCCCTCTCAGTCCATATATCTCACAGGCTCTGGGGCAAGGATCTTTATTCTCTTCTGTGTTTGTATGGGACCTGTTATGCTGTGAATATGGTGGAGGTGGCTAGGTGTTGTACTAATATAAATAACTGGATTTAATGCATGTTGCTAATGTCAGCTTTCCAAGTGGAAGCAGCTCCTTGCTTGCAGAGCATAGTCCAAACATTGCTTATTTTTTCAGTGATTATTTAGTGAATTTTGGATCAAGCCCATAAGCTATAGTCACACAGCAGCATTAAGGCAAGCTAACTTCCCAAGCGCTTGGAATGTGTGAGGTTTAGATGTCCTTGCTGCGCAGTCAATATAACCATTGATGATAAAACATTGTTTGTAATCTGGAGGTTGATGGTGTTGCTTATGGGGGTGTGTGGAGTAGGAGTGAAAGCTGTCCAGAGAGTGGTGTTGACCATGTTGAAACCAGCTTGGAACTATAAAGGAAAGTAGGAATATTTTTCTTCAAAATCTTCTTTCCTTCCTTTAAAGGTTTGAATGTCAAGAGATTGCTGCTGCAGCCTAGAAATGCTGTAGAGATGGTGTTGTTTTGTTAATACATTACAGTTCCTGATCTGAGTAGAAGTGGACTGTGCATGTGAGCCGCTAATGCTGAGGCACAGAAATTAATTGGCAGAAGACTGGTTTATTTCTTGTCAAATAAAAATACGCTGTGTAATTCAGTGGGTTGGAAGGCGTGAGTCTGTGCTCTTTTGTGGCATTTCTGTAGGAAATCTGGAAAGCCTTGCCTGTGATTTGCACAGTGGGGAGCAGAGTTCAGTTATTTTTGGGTACTGCTATTCCTGACTGTCAGGGAATTGTATTGTAACTGTGAGCACATCATTTAGTTCTTATATCTCCGTATCCCCAAACAATCACGTTTCAGACTGTTACAAGCTGAGATGTATCTCTGTCTACTAGTGATTACATAGAAATGTCTTTATATAGTTAAGTCTGAACGTCATGGATATCTTCTGAGCCATTTAAGTAGTTTAGCTTCAGTTGTGATTTACTTACCTGGCCAGTACGATTGTGGCTGCTTGTTGCAGCAGTAGTGGACTCTGTCAAAGCATCTGAAAGTTGTAAATGTTTTAGATCATCAGACAGCCATACAATTTATGCTGCGAACTTTAGAGAGCGTAACCCGTTTAGGAATAAAATGCAGTCTGCTCCGTCTCTATCCTGGGTTTGGAGATGGGCTTTTCCCCCCCGCCATGAAATCTGAACAGCTTGTTTAGCATTTGAATGCTCTAGCTCTTGCTGACAGGTTCAGCTGGTCTTTTCAGTAGAGGTCTCCATTGCTCTCATTCTGTGCCAGCCTTTCTGTCTTGTCCCAAATTAAAATGCTCTTTTTCCCATAACAGGAGAACATGGGACCAGAGAAACAAGGTGCTACCGGGAAGGAAACCGAGGTGAAAAATAAGAAGTTAAAAGGCTAATAAATTTTTCACTCCATCACACAGGTTTAGTGCCATTCAGTGTGCCGCTGCGGTCCCCAGGACGTCGGCTGAAGTTTCTCAAGCGCAGACGTCTCTGCAGGCTGGCTCCCAGACACAAAGTGACGCGAACGTTGTCAGTGTACCTGTGGTCAACGGCCATGGTCCATCGATGGCAAAACAGCCCTCGCAGCAGCCCAAAGGGATCATGGGAATGTTTGCAGCAAAAGCAGCTTCCAAACCCCAGGACACAAATAAAGAAACTAAAGCAGAGGCTAAGGAGGCCCCAGGCGTAAGTTACCTCAGACCCTTTGGCAGCCCTCTGGCTTTTTAATGAGCCGCTCTTCTATCAGAACTAGTGTGGCCAGCAGGAGTAGGGTGGTGATCGTGCCCCTGTATTCGGCCCTGGTGAGGCCGCACCTCGAATCCTGTGTTCAGTTTTGGGCCCCTCACTCCAAGAAGGACACTGAGGTGCTGGAGCGTGTCCAGAGAAGGGCAACGGAGCTGGTGAAGGGCCTGGAGCACAAGTCTGATGAGGAGCGGCTGAGGGAACTGGGGCTGTTTAGCCTGGAGAAGAGGAGGCTGAGGGGAGACCTCATCGCACTCTACAACTACCTGAAAGGAGGTTGTAGCCAGGTGGGGGTTGGTCTCTTCTCCCAAGTAACCAGCGATAGGACGAGAGGAAATGGCCTCAAGTTGCGCCAGGGGAGGTTTAGATTGGATATCAGGAAAAACTTCACTGAAAGAGTGGTCAGGCCTTGGAACAGGCTGCCCAGGGAAGTGGTGGAGTCACCATTCCTGGTGATTTAAAAGACGTGTAGATGAGGCGCTTAGGGACATGGTTTAGGGTGGACTTGGCAGTGCTAGGTTTACAGTTGGACCCGATGATCTTAAAGCTCTTTTCCAACCGAAATGATTCTATGATTCTAGCTTCGCTCTTACTCGACCTAAATAACCTTAAACAGCCATAGTGCAGCCTTGTCCACTGCTTCTAGTGCTAAACTTGCTGTACACTGAGAATGCTCAGTCACTCTTTTGTGTTTGACTGTATAGTACAGTTGTGCCTTCTGTCAGTCATCTTGGGCAAAAATATATTGTACCACACTCTTGACCTATCCACAGAAGTGTATTTGCCGTAACTTCGATGCTTTGACATTCCTCCTTGAGCCAGATCTCCAGCGAGTATAAACCAGCATAGCTGCATTATTGAGACAATTGTTCCATTGTCTTCAGTTATGCCAATATATACACCGGTTGAGGATCTTGCTCTCTCCATTGTGCTTAAAAGGATTTGTTTTGAGCAATAAGTGAAACGTGAGAAGTCCAGGTCTTAAAAGTATCAAGGTGTTTAAACTTGGTCTGTGAGGGAAGTTTCAGAGCTTGACCTGTGCAAGACTAAATTGTTTATCTTCTCAACTGCTGTTTTTCCAGGATCAGATTACATTTTAATTTTAATTAGTATAATTGTTTTTAAAGCAACATGGCCAGTAAGTGGTATTAAAATGGTAATGTTCCCTGCATATGGTTTGGCTTTTTTATAACAGCTGAGTACAGTTTGGTTCATTTTTCTGATTTTTATAGTGAACTTAGAACTGGTGAAATATGCGTGTCTGAGTGTTTTGGGAACTTTAGTGTCTGGTTGCCTTTTTTTGCATGAAAATAAATGGGATTAGGAGGCCAAGCTTCCTTAGGTGGTTTTGTGTGTGTGTGATTTTTCACTTTGGTGGTGGCTATATTAATGGAATAGAGCAGTGATGTTTTTTGCAAACGGCTCAACAGAACAGCGTACGTGCCAGAGTAGCTGGATAAATTCTTCATGGTTTGGCCAATCTGTGTTCTTTCCTCTGTCGATTACTGTGAATTGAGGCACTGATAGTTTGCAAAAAGAACAGTTCTTTGCTGGGAACTGAGCCAAGTCCCAACCACTTATTTCAGTAACACTGTCAGACATCCGATAGGAATGTGACCCAAGTTAGATTTGAAGGCCTAGCTAAGGAGTCTTAACTTACTCTCGACCCTTTGATGCATGTAATATCTAGCATCTTCAAATTCTTCTAAACAGATACTGAAATCTAAGACACTGGCTACTCAGCAAATCATACATATTTATTTTGCTTGTCCAGAAGCAGTACTATGCATATTAAGGGCTGTGTTGCATGAGTAATTCCTGTGGTTACTCCTCTGTTTGCTTCTAGGTGTCTGCAGTAAGCAGCAAACCACCAGCAAAGGGCAACATAATGAACAACTTCTTTGGAAAAGCTGCCATGAGTAAGTGCTTTATAACACGCATCTGTTTTCAAAAACCATTGTGGTCAGGGACCAGCCTGCTGTAGGTTAAAAAAAAAAAAAAAAAATCCAGGGGAATTTTGGAAAGACCTTTTTTTTTTTTTTTTTTTAAGCTAAGTAACAATTAAAAAATCAGTGATATCAGGCATCTTGTTATACAGCTGTGATGGGAGACATAAACAGAAAGGAGCAGAACTCTTTCTTCCTGCCTCGCCAAACTTGTTCAATTTTCTTTATCCCCTCTTTTCTTATAGTTTTCCATGCTATTCTTCTGCTCTTTTGGACTCAGAGGGGTTAATGTTTTTGTATGCAGCTCTTAAAGCAAAAATTAAAAGTTGTAAGTGGAACTTTTCAGACAAAAAGCTTGCTGGATGGAGATCAATTAAAATTACATATTTGTGCAGACTAACCCAGGAAGGATTTTTAGTGCAGAAGAAATCTGATTTAAAGTGAGTACTTCTGACTGAAAGATTGGCTATTGGTAAAATGTTTGCCAAAACCTGTTATGCAGGGCGTGTTAATGCAGCTTGCTTTTCATCACAAATCACTGTGAGGGGTCTATAGTTAGATTTAGGGTTAATTTCTTTATTGAAAACTGAAGAGCTAATAATTGGAGGATAAAAATGAGGTATGGCCTTCCCCTTTGAGTAGGGGTTTGGAGTAGATGGCCTCTGGAGGTCTCTTCTGACCTAAATTATCCAAGTCTAAAGAAAATATGCTGAAGCTTTTAAATAGACATTGGAAAAGGACCATAGGACTTTCTTCAAAGATGCCCTTATAATACCGTGTACAAGAGGATTCAAAGAAGAGTTACTGGGAGAGAGTAAACAGCAAAGTTCACCTTCTAACAAGCGTCTGTCAGAGTGTGCAGGGTACAGTTCCAGCACTGAACACACGAGGCACAGTTCAGTTGGGCATCCCTGAGTTCCTGTTTTGATGAGACTGAGGGATCTGAGGATGCTTTCAGCCTAAGCTTCACGAGCCTAAGCACAGTTACTACAATTAATTCAAGTAAATTCTTCAGATCTGAGAAGAGCCCTAGACCAAAGTTCATATGCTGAAAACCCAAGAAGTTGAAATTGCGTGGTAAAAATAACCCAGTGGTGATGGAGAAGGCTTTGTGGATGCATTTCCACGATTTCCAATGGGGTTCACTTCTCCGCTGAGTCCTGTCAGGACTTCAAGGAAACTTGTGAGGTGGCTGCAGGGAAGGAGCAAACCGAACAGAACTGGAAATGATTATGTGTATAGAAGAGATAGGGTGATTCCAGGATTAAGATTTATTCCCTACATGTTGTACGTCTCTCCTGGCTTCAAATATTTTACCATTGCCAGAAAGTCCTGAGTTAACGATAATTGGGTCTTTCGGCTCTCTGCTGTTGATCATAAATAAGAGAGCTGTCATTCAAGTTCTTATGTATGAGATGTTTTCCCTTGCTCAATGAAGCAGCCAGCCTGTTTTCCAAGCAGTGTCAGAAAGGCATTGGCATGAAGTCTTCTAGCCCTCTTGGTAGGCCCTGTTCCTATTGACGATGTGGTTGATCTCATTGTTGAATACTTTTTCTTTGCTCGGGCATCTTGTGCTTGGGATGCACTTGTCTGCTCCTCTCTTCTCGTGGGGGTGTGTGTGTGTAAAGCTGCTGAATGAAGCTCACAGACTATACTTAGGTGCTAGTTTGCTAACAGCACCACCTATCAGGTTGGTAAATGTATTATTTTGCTGTCCGCTCCCACCTTTTATCTCTTCTCTGGTACTAGATTAAGACTTTTGAAGCATAGTTGTCCTTGTATGTGGTGCTGTGTAGGCAGAAGAGGCTGGTTCTTGATCACATTGGGGTTGGGGTGGAACGAGAAGCTACTACATTACTGAAAATGCTAATCATGGGCTCTAATGTTACGCAGGATGGAGACTGCACACACCTTTCATTGCTTTTCATCAGTCCTCATTTTCCTGTTTCTGGGCACTTTTGTGCTTGACTAAAACTCTAATTTAGAAGGGATAAACTGAACTATAAAGATGGATGTCGTGTTATGCCAAGAGGGCCGTCCAGAAGAGGGGCTCCCAACCCTTCTGTGGTGCCTTTGGTCCTGGTGACTGTAAGGGCTTCTGCCACTGCCTCCTAGCCCTCTTCTGCAGAGTTTAACTGCTGCAGCACACTCAGCTTGCAGTGTGCTTGGGCTGTGCCGTCAGGAACAGAACCAAACTGGTAAATCAGCTAGAAATTTAAGCATGCCCTTTTTTCATATATGACACAGCTTTGTCAATCTAGATCCCTTAATGCTTTTATATAGCATCTGTAGTGTTTTCTCTGTTTTTGGTACACAGTGTTTTGTTTAGCCAACTCCTTTGTAGGTTGTTGTTCATACTGAATGCCCAGTGTTTGTTCTTTTTTAATGGTTTATTCACAGATAAACTCAAAGTCAACTCTGTGCCTGAGCAGCCAAAGGAGGAGAAAGAAGTAGTCAAGCCTTCAGTTCCTGTAGCAGAACCAGAGTCATCCCCTAATACTGTAGTAGAGAAACCTGGGAAGAAAACAGAGTCTGCCAGAATTCAACAGAAGGACAAAAAAAGGTGGGCCACACCATTCAGGGTCCCTGTAATCTGTTAACCTGTTTGTTGATGGCCTGCATGGAGCTAGCTGGTCATACAATGCTGGCTCACCTCCTGTTTCCAGCTACTAAATTGCATTAAACCTGGCTAAAATTATCTCTCTTGGAATTCTTTCCTAATATTTCTTTTCCATTTAGTGCTGTAGATGCCTCGGGGCCATTTGTGCCATTGCAAATGGGAAGGGACACGGTCCAGGTAGTCTTCAGTGGGAGGGGGTGGCTTTCCGTGAGACAACCTCACGCTGTGAGCAGACTTAGTATAGACCCTGCAGGCAATATGTGGGGGCTGGCAGGAGCACCTGTACTGCAGGGAAGGTAGTATATTCCCAAGCTTATATGTACACAGCTTCCAGCACACAAAGTTCTGCTTGTTGATTTCCATAGCTAATGTACTGCTGCTTTCAATGCCACTGGTTTACTTTGGGCTGAGACTCCAAGTAAATTTTAAGTTCAGCCCTTTGTGTTTAATCCAACCCAAACTGACAGAGACAAAAAATCATTACAGTCTGATGGCTCTCTGGTGGCCTATGAGTAATTAATTGGTGGTCTCAATCCGTTTCTAACTAAATAGGTAAGCACACCACCCAGCCCACCATCGCAGTTAGTGCTAACTGGTCTTCTTATTGATAGTCTTATTCAAAAAGCCAAAGGCCTGGAAACTGCATGTTGGCAGTCTGGTGTTGGGAAGGCCACTTGGGCTGTACCAGCTCTATGACGATACGTGGGCCTTTAGCCTCCAGGCTTGTTAGTCTGACATGTCTCGCCAACATTAAAAAGAAAGAAGCTATTTTATTTTTCCAGTAGTCTTTAAAAATGGCTCCAGGATTCTGAGACACTACCTCATAGTCAGTCAGTGGCAAGCAGTCTGTCAAAAGAGCTTCTGAGCGATGCTGTTGGGGACATTAGTGTTTGGGAGCCTAAGCTATAGAGACAAGATCAGAAGTGCACTCTTGCCAGGTTGCTGTGGCCAAGCTACCTGAGGTACTGGGCAAACTGTTGAACTGCAGAGGGGCTAAAGAAATCCTCCTTGTTTTGGCTAAGGATGAGAGGCTTGAAAATGCTCATGCACCTATGCCTGATTGTATAGGTGAGTATACTTCAGCGTATGTGATGGTCGTGTTTTTAAGAGGTACAGAGGTATTTCATTTCCTCGCTAGCAGTACTTCTATCAGGAACGTGCTTGTCTAAACGTGCCTGATGGTTTCATGCACGCACAAGGGATAACACGGATAACACGCACAAGGGTTCATTCCTTTTTTCTTTCCTTTTTGTGGCAGTAAAATGAAGAGGGTGGACAAGTCGGATAATGAGGAAGAAAGAGATCCCGAAAATCTAAAGAAAAAGAGGAAGCGAATTAAACAACTTCAGTCTGACAGCAGTGACGAGGAAGGTAAAAAGATGTGTAAACAACCAGGCATGTAGGTCAGGGGCCTGATTTCGACAATATTACTATCCAAGGCTGTTGGTCAAAGATTGAGGGAATAGTTTAGAGGACTAAAGACTGTGCAAATGGCTATAGCTTGAACTTTCTGTTTATCTTGTGCTGCAAGCACTTGGCCATACAGTTGAGATGCCTCAGTCATTCAGTCTTTGTTTTAGCTTAGCTCAGATCTGGCTGTCTCCTCACCAAGTGTGCTGCCAGTCACACTGACATGTGGGAAGGAGGTTCTCAAATCTCTTGTGAAAGATATCGCGCCTTCCAGAATTGTAGGACCGGTCATAACCAGTTTATTTGGTGAGTAAACACTCGCAAAGTGACCTCCCCCCCTCCCAGGGTCACTTTTAGTATCTTTATTCTGTCTGTTTATAGAAATGGTTTGGAAGACAGGATTGGAAGCAAGACTTCCAAAAAAAAAAAAAAAAGAGATAATGGAGAAACTGGAGGCAAAACAGTTGAGCCGTATCCGATGCGACTCTGCGTCTCCTCGGTGGCTGTTGGCTTTGATAGGAGTAGAGTGCCCAGAACATTGCAAGATTTGGGCTTATAATGAGGAACAGCAGGGCCGGATTCCAAAGAATTTGGATAATTGAGGTGACAAATGCCGTTCAATATAGATAACTGGAAAATAAGTTGGGATCGAGCTAGGGAGTATGTGCTAAATGGAACAGTCATCCAACAAGCTGATCAGGAAAAGAATTTGGGGATCATTATGGACAAATAATTGAAACCACCAGTTTGGTGTACAGCTCCAGTAAAAAAAGGTGAAACAGCAAAAAGGTTGTATTAGCAAGGAGGTGGACTCCAGCAGGAGAACTTAAGCTGTTTGCTTATTTAGTGTGGCTAGCACATGAGAAACAACCATGAAATTAAGAGAATCTGTAATACAAGTTAGGCAAATATTGTTGGATATCTGAGCTGTCTCCATGCCACCTTAGGCTTATTTTCATGGTTTCTCTTCTGCCCAGCATAATTTCAAGTGATCTCTGTCATCAGGCATCCATCACTTCTACTCGGACTATTCCACAGGATGATAAATCTCTCAGGAAGCTGTTCTTCATGATCAGCCTTAATTTTGTCACATTCCTGTATGCAGCTCCTTGTTTGGCCATAAAAAAAATATATATGCCCACACTCTTTGGTATTTATTTCTTTAAATGTTTGTAAGCTATTATCTAGTCTTTCCATTTACTCATCAGTCAGCCTACTGACAAGCTGCGTTGTTTAGCTCTGAAGAAGGAAGATTGAAATCAGCCCGTTCAGCCACTTGAAGCACCGCTCCTTGCTGGGCTGGGATCTCGCAGCTTGTCCATTCTCTGCTAACAAGAGCAGGCAGAAATGAGCCCCATGTTTTGGGCGCGTGGTAGGGCTGTGCGGAGAGGCTGCTCTTTGAAGCATGAAACCTTGTTGGTTCAGTCTTCCTTGTGCTGCCGTGAGTTGGGGACCCGCAGCCTCCTGTGTTCATGCCAGTGCTTTGAGCACACAGCAAGCTGAGAGGTGACCGCCGTCTACTTTCCTTATCTATTTCTTTTAGAACTCTTTTCGTGTCCTGAGACTAAGAGAAGTGCCATAAGACTGTCTAAATTGAGGAGTGCTCTCTATAGAGTACTGCAAATTCCTTCTGGCTGCATACCCACTTTTGGTTTTGAGTATTAGAGCGCTCTGGTTTCTTGATGAATACCTGTATTACGTTAGCATGTGCTAAATAGTTAATGCCTTTGAATGCAGTGCCTTGTGTTTTCGTTTAGTCCAAGGTGTGGTCCAGAGACTGCGTGTGTCGTCCTACCTCAGTGCACGCAGTAGGTCTGTTTAGTTTTTCTCCCTTGTTTTATTTGTGCTCTTAAGTGTGAGTTAACTGGATTTGCAGTTAGAAACCATGGGTCTGGTCCTCTGGTCAGGTTGGGGGCCCAGTTGTCCTGCTAACCTCATTCTCAGTAGCTTTAGACATTAAAAACAATACAAGTAAGGCTATCTACCCACTCGTCTTATGGGGAGGGTTGGGTTTTGGTTTACTCCTATTTAACCTACTGGGGATGTATGCAGAAAGTTCGACTTTCTGTTTGGAGAATTTTCTTGTCACTGCTGTTGCTCCTTCTGTACCGTAGTCCTCTTTGTTCTTTCCGTTATGTTGAGAATCTGCTTTGTGTTGTGTATTAGAATTGTAAATTTATGCAAATTATAGCTTGTGTATACAAATTTGTATATTACTCAGATTAGATACCTTAGTACTATTCCCTCTTTCAGAGGGGAAACATTAGAATTGAGAGAGCTTCTCTCTTCTTCCTTTTTAAGTTAATGGCTATCTAAATGACCCTAATGAGATCTGCGTCCAGCGGTTTGGTTCTGCTGCTTGCCCTTCTAAATCCAACTGGATGAAAGAAGATAGATTTGAATTCTTTGAAATATTCGTACTGAATCCAAACTGGTAATATTACATTCAGTATTCAAGTATAAGAATGTAAGTTGGATGAAACAAATAATTTAAAAAAAAAAAAAAAAATGTACAGCAGCTGGACTTTGAGAGCATTTATCCTTGGAAAGGCTTGGAACCAGGTTTCTCCAGAGAGCAGGGGCAATTTTAATCAGCAGCACCAGTGAGCAAAATGGGGCCTGGAGTGACATTGTTCCACGCTGCATCCCTGTGGGAGCAGGGGGGAAGGCGCCATATGCTGCACAGCATTTGGAAATCGCTGCCAGACAGGGCACGGTTCATCCGCCACCTGTGTCATTCACCCGCAGATGATCGAGGGGTAAGTTTTAAATATGCAAAATGCAATATGGGAAGCTGCACCACCAGAGCAGATATCAAAGGCTAACAGTCTAGCTGCTGCTTATGCTAATGCGCCACGCTAACCTGGCTGACCTCCGCTCGAAGCAAACGAGGAGGTGCTTGCACAGGCTGCTCCGGCAGCTCAAGGAGGCACGGCCTCGGGCAGGGGTGCTAACCTTTCCTGCGGGTGCAGCTGCAGATACAAGGGGACGCTTGTCCGCAGCCATTGCTGTGATTGAATGGCGTTCAGACAGGGCTCCACCTGTGTAACTGCTAGTAAAACCACTGCCCTTGTTCAGGCAGACTTAGCGACGTTTTGTGGGTTTGAAACTAGGTCCGTACGACTGATGCGAAGCACTGTATGGGCACTCTTATGTCGGGGCAAGTCTTTTGCGTTGTTCTGTATTAGTCTGCTCTTAATGTACTGAAATTAGCCCAAAATAAGCTCTTCTTACACGAGTGTCAGCACATTGTACCAAGTTGAAAATACAGAGAGGGCATAAGGCACAATCCTCTCCATTTAAATGATTTTTCATTAAAAAGTTATATTGGTATGAGGGTGCCTTAGTCACTGCAGGTTGTTTTGCTTCCAGTGCCAGAATAAACTACACAAGTGTGTCCACAGAGGACAGGAGGTTTTGGCAGCTTCAGCTATACCAACACAGGCAGCATTTCGCAGTGTTGACAAGTGTTTTACAGCCACTTTGGAGGGTGATTTCAGTGGCACTGTAACCTACAAACTCTATCGGTTTCGGAGAGCCACAACAGAAGCACTAAAGCTTCTCACAGTTTTTCCAGGCAGGGTCAGAACAAACCAAACAAAGCCAGGATTTACATCTTTGGTACATCCAATTGCCCAACTTGTATCCATTTCATGCAGCTGTTGCTGTTGAGTAAACTGTGGGCAGCAGCTAGAGGTTGACTCAGGAGTTATCACATGTCAGAGGGCTGTGTTGGCTAGAAGAGGATAATAAAATAATAGAGACACGGCTTGATGGTAGTCCGAAACACTCTGACATGGGGAGAAGGTGCCTTCTGCCTGCCAAAAGCTGGGGGAACTCATTTGAAGGAGGCTGAAGAAAAGCCCAGATTTCCCCCAAGCCAGCATAGTGGAGTTGACACGCTGAAAATACCTTCAGCAGGGTCTGCTCGAGCACGGCAGAGGTGGCAGTTTTTCACCAGGCTGGTTTTCAGCCCTCTTAGCCTATGCTCTCTTGAAAATATTTTCAAATTGATGTGGCCAGCCTGGGTAGTCTGTGAAGCAAGTTTGGTGCTGTGCAGTATGTGGGCGCTTCAGCCCTGCAGTTGCTGTGAGACTATGATAAATATTGAGAATTTTGAGTTCCCTGCAGCTTCTCGGCTGCGGTCCCAGCTGCCCCAGCAGTTAGCACCTTAGAGCAGATCCGTTGTTTGGTTTTATCTTTGCACAGCTGCCAGACCCAGCTCTTTGGAGCAAGGTGAAATACCGAGTCATGTTATCCCACTCTGTTTGCATTTCTGTGCCTCGCTTACTGAAGTAGTTAGGAGGCTGAGTCCTTGTTTGAAGAATGTAATTTATTATTTAGCCTTGGCAGCCAACCACTGTTTCACTTGAGCCCTTCTTAACCTATGAAGGTCAGTTGGCCGTGTGCCTGGCACAGTCATAACTCTTAACACTGACCTAATCTGTTGGGACAGCTACAGATCCAGAACTCGTGTTACGACGGTGGGATGAATGCAGTGCAACAGCCAGCAGAGCTGGGAGGAGAAGCCAAGCAGGCACTCTGTCCTCCCATCCAGCGGCATCATTGTTATTATTAAGCAATAGGTCAGATGAGGAGTTTCTTCCCCCACATTCCTAGCTCTCCCCGACATTTGAGGACTTGCATGGCAGCGTTTCTCACTTGGACTTGGAGAGGATTCCTTAAAGCCATTTAAATTAGTCACGGTGCCTGCTGTGTGGTGCAAGGTGCTGCTCCTCCCCCTCTTGTCCTGCACTGATTTTTCTTCACTGTCACGCCTCTGTCCCTCTTCCAGCCCCACAGAAGAGTGACCCTGGCTTTCTCATTTGTCTATAAGCCCTGCTAGTCTCGCTAAGGCCCTGTTTGACATTGCTGGTAGAGGCTGCAGAGCTGGTTTTGCTCTGTACAAATTTGTGAGGGTGTCCTTGACCATTTCAGTCAGTTTTGGCATTGAAAGGATTCCACTATCTCCGTCCTTGCACCCAGAGGAGAGTATAGATGATGACAGATGAGAGAATGGGATTAGTTTTTTGGGGTGGTTTGGTTTTCTGTTTGTTTTTCAAATGAAAGATTGGTGTGTCCCTTAACAATCTTTTAGGGTAGGTAATAGTATATTGCACTTAATTCTTGGACTAAGGTAGTTTCAAGCTAATAGCATTAATTGTTCGGGATGTGTAGCACCACCTGTGAAGCAATGACTTTTTACCAATGGGGAAGAGGTAGAGAAACTCAGGTCATCCAATGTTTTGGGAATATGTAGTCTTAAACCCTGACTCTTTCAATTTTTAAACAAATTACAGTCCCTCTTTTTAATGAGCAAGTGAAATATATGGTTAAAACATGCCAGTTTCTGTGCCTATTTTTAAAGTTTCATTTGATGGAACTGGTCTTGGCTTACCAAAAATCCTAAATGCACTTCTCCCATTCTATCCCACCCTCCACCCTCCTTCCTTTGGGAACTGCAGTGCATAGCACCTTAGCACAGGGTGAGCTGTCTGGCTGGAAGCCAACCGCTTCGAACGATTTGTCCTGACCAGAATTAAACGAATCTGAGTGAGAACTTGTAAACCTTGATCTAAATACAGGTTACAAGCAATTGCTCAGAGTTAAATGAAATTATCTGAGACAAAAAGGTAGCTGCAAGGGGGCATTAAACCCGCTTGCTATCAAGATGTTCATCTTCTTAGCAGATGTCCCACCGCCTCTCACACCTGAGGAGGAGAAAGCTCCATCTCCACCTCCTGTACCTGCTCTGAAAACTGAACTGGAGCCTGCATCCACAGAGGTAAGAGCATAGTAGGGTGATTAACTTCTGTTTTTATCCAACTTGATGGGGATTGCCCAACCGCTTTTCAGATGCTAGGGGGGAGGTCCTGTTTGCTTGTCAAGTCCATCATGTCATCCTGCTTGAAAGAATCCACTATGTTCACTAGTTCATTCATTTTCTAGACCATTATTTAAACTCTAGCTTTTCTGCTCATAGCGTGGTTTTCTGTTTTCTTCTCTTTTTTCCCCCCTAATGGTTCTATGAATTGAACTCTCTTCCCTCCGAATCTTGGCCTCAGGAGTCAGGGCAGGGCCAGAAATGAAACCAGAGACTCTTGGTATTCAACTTTGTATCGCAGGGAAGCTGCTGCGTAATGGAGGTGGGCTGCGACTGGCAAGAAGTCAACCTCTGAGCTGAGAAAATACATGTAGTTTTATTGAAAGTGCAGCTGTTTGTCACAGCAGGAGTTGTGATGTCTTGCACACCTTGTTATTTCCTCATTCTTCAGAGGTATGATGGGACAACCCCCTGCCGCCCTCTCACATAACTAAACACATTTCAGAGTGTCACATGCCCTAGAAGAGGAATGTGCTCCTTGTGCTGGGAAAAGCTTGCTGTCTCACTTAAGTTGTATTTTGTCTCTCTGAAATTTGTCCTGATAGGATGGGCAGAACTGTGGCGTTAGCAAAAATGAGACTAGGATATCCTGGGAAGGGACAGAATTAGTTATCAAATCATGCTCAGCTTCATTAGAGAGACTATATTTCACTCCTGGGGCTGATGTTTTTATGACCTGTGTACGGGGCCTTAACTCTTGATTTCTCACAATACTGCAATGTCCTTCAGTTTTCAGCTGGAGCGAGGAAGAGGAAGCGGAAGCGTGTGCTGAAATCCAAAATGTTTATTGATGAAGAAGAAGGTTGCATGGGTAAGACTAGTTGACTCCTACACCTCAGTGGAACTAACTCTATTGAAGATGTGTTGAAGATTTTTACAGGCCAGCCTCTCCCAGGCTTAGAAAGAGGTTCACAAAATCACTTTGTTATTCCACTTCAACCTCATGCTCCCAGATTTAGGTAACTGCCCTTTTGGTGAAGGCCTGGGTAGGGAGTCATGGAGCTGTGGCTGAATCCTTATTCTTTTTTGATTATTCACAGACTTTCTTTCAATTTTTCTCCCTTCCCTCCTGCCAGCATGAGCACCTCCTTCATTTGCTCTCCTCTCCAAAGATACAAACTTTTAAAGATGGTGCAGAGAGAGGTCTAGGTTTTGGGATAAATTCTGGGTGGGAGAAGTTTGGTTTCGTGGGTTTTTTTTTTTTTCTTTTGGGGATAAATCCAGAGCTGTGCAGCAGAGCTTGATTATATATTAATATAAACTTCAAATATCCCAGATAAGCAAGGAATAAGTTGGGGCTTAAATCCTTGAGAGGGTTTCTGTTTCTGATAAGGATGGCTCTGTTTTCAGGAGGGAAGAGAGTCTCTACAGAAGTACTGAGGGCCAGAGGCTTTGAATTCCAGCCTGACTGGGCACTGCTTCCTCGTGTGACTTGAAGAATGCTGTGTAACACCGCTGTACTTGTTTCCTCCTCTGTGTCCTGACATTGAAGTAGAGCTGCAGGAGTTCAGAATCTTTTTCTTTTTTTTTTTAAAGGTTTTAAAAATTTAAGAGGGTGGAATGTGGCTTTTTGTAGCGCTGTGGTTAGCTCAATTGCATGGGATGCGTAACATTCTCCAGCCTTGCTGATCTGAGTAGATGTCAAGGGAGCTCAGCCAGTTCTAGGAGAAAGATCTGTTGCTGTTGTACAGGTTTGTCGTTGTGCCTAAGCGTAGATAGATACAGGCTTGCTTGGCCCAGATTTGGAGCTGCCTGGACGTGAGTCAGCTTGTGTCTGTTTGCACCTGCCTGTATAGTTGTATCTTATGTTTCCTATTAACTTTGTGTGTCTCCTTTAAAGAAATCTAAAGCTAGCACTCAGCAACTGGCTATGCTAGTAACTGAAATCTCAAGTACTGGATTTTTGTCAAAGAATTGGACTAGCACAAAGTTATTGACTGCTTTGGCTAGTTGTGTTATGGGGTGTTTTGCTCTCCCATCCCAGATAGAACCATTAAAACGCTTGGAAGGAAAGTGGAACAAAAAAGCATTAGCTGGGGAGTTGAGTTGAACAAGGTCTGCATCCAGAGCTCGCAGTAATGACTGTTCTGAGTTCAGCTTCCAGCAAAGAGTGCTCTTCTCTTTCTCTTCAGCCCTTTCCAATCGTACTAGGGCTGGGAAGATTGCCTTTCTTTCTCTTCTCTTCACCCCTAAGGGGTTTCATGGTCTCTTGTGAAATCCAGATCTTTGGTTTTACAGTTCATATCCACTACCATTTTATGAAAAGGGAAATGCAAGTCCCTGTTGTGCCTTTGGGAGACAGATCCTCTAGGAAGTAGAGAGGGATGGAGCTGGGATACTGAGGAACTAGGTAACGAGGAGATGCTGTTTTCTGTACTAAAAAACTACCAGTCTGTTGTGCAGAACCTGCTGTCTGGTTATTGTCCAGTTTCTCTCCTCCCTTTCCTTCCCCACGCTTTCCATGCACAGGCCTAATCATTCGAAGGCTAAATAACTTGCAAATCTCACGGGCTAATGTAAATTGTTGTTATTCTTTGAAATACAGGCTTTTCTCCCTGCTGTCTTTTTTTTTTTTTTTTTTCTTTTTTAAACAAGGACTAGGTTTTAAGAGACATTAAATCCTAACATTTAGGATTAGGCTGTACTTTATATTTCTCCATGATTTTAAGTTATCATTTTCACAATAGCTGCAATAGCAAGGAATTGGTGTCAAAAAGCAAAACTAATTTAGGGATTAGCCCTGAGGGAGATTGAGCAATTAAAGTATCTGTGGAGTTAAGCACAAGGCATGTTACCATGCATCAACTGGGACTCAATCGAGTACCTGCTCTTAGTCTATAGCAAAGGGGAGTTACTGAAGTTTAAGCTAGTGCATTTCTACCTTGCACTTTCTAAAGCTTGAAAGGACATACGTAGACTTATATATTGAAACATACACGTGTACATTGTAGGTAAATTTGTGTTACAGCACTGGTTTAAGTTAGAGCTCATATGAGTTACTGTGATTTAGCTGGCTGTGGGCTGAGCATCAGTAACTATCTATGTGCCTGTAGCTTCCACAAATACAGAATTTTTAGGTTCAGCTGAGATCTCAGTAAAAGAGAGTTGATCTCGGCTGTGTTATCTTGCAATTGGAGGGGATTAAGTGCACGCTTTTGGAGTTACCAACAATTACTGACATGGGTGACAATGCAGTAAATTTTTAAAGCTCAGTAGGTGGCCAGTGGTCAGTTAACGCTGCTCACTGAAAAGTTGCCTCCGAAGGGAGGTTAGCTTGCATTTACAGTTCCTGTTTGAGCGTCCATTAGCACTGTGGAGCAGGATTTCATACCATTCCTCTTCCCGGTCTCTGGTTACATAAAAAACCTTATTTAATTTGATGCATTAATACAAGTGAAAGCCAATTTCCCAGAAGAAGGGAAGTTAGGACATCTGTTTAAAAGAATACAGTTGCTAAAGAAAAATGGCTTACTAGAAGAATACCAGAACGCTGCTGGGAAAGCTGATACAACAACAGTTACTAGTATCTAACGATGGCTTTCATCAGTGGAGCTGACTCCAGTTTAATTTCGTGAGCGTTGTTTTATATCCCTTAGCTTTCCATCACCAGACACTGACAGCAGTGAGCTGGCAATCCTATTCAGTTATAGTCCTTGATTTCAGTCACAGGTTTGGTTTTATTTTTTTTAAGGAATTTCTTTATAATTGCCCTGCTTGCCCACCTGTATAGAAAGAAGCTGCCCCCAAGGTTTTGTGCTCCTTCTCTCCACCTCTGAGATGCGCTACGTTTTCTTCACTCTTCCCTGACCATCTGACGTGCATGGTGCTGGTGAGGGAAGGCTGGTCTATCTCTGGGTTGTCTTGTCTGGATTTCAGGACAATCTGATTGCTTTGGCCCCTGTGGAAGTCAGACCAAGTCAGAATGGTGGGTTTTAACCATAAAAATCGTCTAATGCTAAACTACGGATTCTGATCTCATTCAGATTCATCACTTTGTGATAGCTGCTTGTCAACCTCTGCAAGATGAATTGATGGTCTTCAGCACAGTTGGCCTTGTTTCTAGAAGAGGGCAACACTTGAGTAGGTTCAGAAAGGGAACTGTCCTCTTGAGGGCCCTTCCTAGTGGGCAGCTTTGGGCTGCTGCTGTTTAAGGCATGCATATGGCCTGCGAATGAATGTGTTTGGTGACACCAAGTCATTTTGAAAGAGCTGGATGACATTAAAGCTCCTGAGTCATTAACCTGCCATCTTACGCTTAAGAAAGAGGGGAGGCAGTTTGACTCAGTGTGTGGAAAGCCAGTCCAGTCATCTGGACCTACTGCATAACCTTGAGCTGACTTAATTCCTGTATCTGGCATGTACTCCTTGAACCCAAAATACTCATTTCCAGAAATGCAGTGGGGAGGTCTCTGCTCTTTGGTACACAGGCTTAACCATCGTCATCTGTTCTTCTTTTCTTTTCATCAGTGACTGAGAAGGTTTACGAGAGTGAATCCTGTACAGATAGCGAGGATGACTTTGCCAAGTCCAAGCCACCAGCTGCACACAAACAGCCTGCACTACCTATGAAGAAAGAACCAAAGGAAGAAAGGAAGAACCTGAAGAAAGGGACAGCTACTGCCAACAGAGCCAACAAACAGGTCTCCATCATGGGTTTTTTTCAGAAGAAATGAACTGGGTCTTTCTCCCGGTCCTTTTGGCAGCTTGGGAGTGTTGCTCTTTTTGTCTGGCTTTCTAAAAGCTGCTGCGTTGGAGGAGAAAAACATGCAATCTTCGATTACGTAAGATATCTTGCTTACTATGTAAGTAAGCCCTCTGGACTAGATTTTGTATCGGAGAAAAGTTTTATTTGTTACTGCAATAATTTCAGTCATCTTTACTAAGCAGTGTGGGAATCGCCAGCTAGAAGCAAAATCTAGAGGAACGCTTGAAAGACTGATAATCTATTCACATTAAATTTTATTTTTTTAATACGGCCTTTCAGCTGTTCAGTGCTGAAGGTTCCATGAGTGGTAGATGGACTAAATTAGGAGTTGAGTTGTGGCATTTTTTTTCCTCTTTTTACACCCCCAGCTCCCCAGATTGATCTAAATGTTCACGTTGGTTAGAAGCTGTAATGTAGCAGGTCTTTAGGCATACACACAAATACTGAACATCAGCTTCAGCTTTAACTGAATGAAATGAACTTAATTTTCCCCTTAAGACTGGTAAATAATTTTTGCTCTGCCTTTCATAATCTTTTTTTGGACAAAGCAGTGCATATAAAATTCTCTTACTCTTTTCTTCCTTGAACACATCCTCTTTAAATTGCTCAGATGCCTAATTATAGACCGGGACACTGTTGGTGCTCTGTCTTTGCAAAAACATCTTTGAGGCTTCCCACACAACTGGCTCCAGTGTAATTGGGGGAAGGCTTCGCTGTTATTGGGAAAGCAACTGTGTCTTTAACCTTGAAAGTTAATGAGTCAAAGGGAAGGGTGATTGGAGGGCACTTCTGATAACACCAGTCAGGTACCTGCTGTCATTGTCTGTGAAGAATTGCATGCTGCTTTTTTGGTTTTGTAGGTTTTGGGTTGCCTGAAGTTTTTTTACAGGCATAAACCAGACAACAGAAGAGTTGTTTTCTAGGACATCTCGTCATCTGCCTGCTGAAGGAAGTGTGTCCTGAGCAAATGGTCTTGAGGAACCAGTTATTGGAGATGAATAAAGCACTGCAGTCCCGTTAATCAGAAATGAGTCATCATTTTGGATGCCTTCTGGTTTTCTGGTGCGAAATTGGACAGGTTTATAAAAAAGGCCAGATTTTCAGAGGATGGGTGCTAAGCATTTCTGAAGCTTGGCCTGGTGAAGGCTCCCAAACCACTGTCATCAGTGGCCACTTCCAAATGGTGTTAGGCCAACGCACGTATGGATATGTATGTACATATTGGTTTATAAAGTGTTTGTGGTTGGCAGAAAGGTAGATACAGTCTGAAGAGTGTGAACGTAGGAAGAAATGTCTTCAGTACCCAGCTGACAGTATTCCAACCTGTGGCCAGTAAAAGGGCCAACCGAGTGTATTTACACAGTCGTTCTGACCAGGAGATCAGTTTGGTGACTCGAGAAATTTGAACACGCACCTAACAGTGACCAACAGTTGACTCAATTAAGTCTTGTCACCCTGGGCAGCTTGCACCCTCGGCAGATGTGAGAGGAACTACTTAAAACCAGCAATGTCTGTGGGTTTGTGCCCATGTTTGTGTCCTTGCTGCGTGGCTTCAGCTGCTCACTGCGTGGATCGCTGCTGTCAGGGGTATTCAAGGGTAGCCTCATAGCTCAGCGCCCTCCCCGTGTAGCTCCCGGTAAGAACTTAAATTCTGTCCTTTCTGAATTGGAGACTTACAGGAAAAGTAATGGGAAGATGGGTGAGGGAAGGCAGAATTGGCACGGTACTCGCAGACATCCAAACACAGAGCCTGCTGCACAAGCTGAGAAAGGCTTCATGCTCTCAAGGTGTGTTGGAGTGATGTGGGCAGCAGAGGTCCGTGGGGAAAGAATGAACAACCTTGTTCTGACTTTTATGAAGAAAATTTAACTGTTTAAAAAAAAAAAAAAGATATTGCTGTAGTGTTTCTGTTTTTCTTGGTAGAATTGGGGGTGTATTTTGAAAAGTAATAAGTAACACAACCCATTAAATACAAATTTTTCTTTTGTCCTTGCTATTCATTAAATGATGTGCTACATCCTGATTTCCAGGGGTTGCTGTGACATTTGACTATGTGGAAGAATATCACTGGTGAAGTGGGTAAAGAGTTCTTCCATCGAAGCCAGGGCTGGCAGCATTAAACTGAGCATTTTAGAGCATCTGAAATGTGGGTGAGAACATCTCAAACTGTCAGGATCTGTATTGAATTGACCCCTTGAGTCTTATTTCTACGGCAAATGTTGACAGGACATGGTGTCCCAGTGCTCTTGCACCTCACCTCTGCCGTGGTCTAGCTGGAGCTCACTGCTCCACCCCGACTCCCTCTATAACCAGATCAACGTCATATGCGACTTCCTCAGGAAAATGACTTAATGTCTGAAGAAGCAGGACATAGGCAGACTTCAGACTTCCAAAAATCATGATCTAATCCTCTCCCCCTCCTGCACTTCATGGGCTGCCAGCCCCAGGGGGGCCTCAGGTCCCTGCATGCCCCCTCGGCGAGGCTGGAGTGTCCCCAGGCGGTGTGTGGGAGCAAGGAATGGGGCTGGGTCCCCGAGCTGCTGGTTAAAGAGAAGGTTCCTTCTTGCTGCCATGGGCAGATGTCACCCGTTTGGCACCCGGTGGCTGCCGGGGGGCAAAATGTCTGGGGTGCGGTGGCAGCTCTGTGCAGCTCTGAGCCAGGCACTGGCTCTCGGAGCAAGGAGCACATCCCCTGCCTCGCACTTGGCTCGAGACTCGGTATTGATGGTGCTCAGGGTCCAAAACCTCGTCCTGGAGATACAGAGATCTTTCAGGGATTTCCTCTCCCCTTCCCCCTGCATCTCCCTTCCAACCACATT